CGGTTGGAGCCTCCAATTGATCATCCTCGACCCTGATCGTCGACTGATATTGATTATGTACATCGGCCCAAGTGACAGCTGGATATTCGATCAAATTTTGCTTCAACTGCTGTGAAGCTATGGAACTCCGAGCGTTGAGACCTTGAGTAAAAGTGTGAATAGCCCAATCATCGGTGACCAGTGGCAAATCCATTTGTTCCATTTGAAATTGAGATACGAATTCCCTGAGCATCTCATCATCTTTCTGTCTTACTTTAAAGAGGTCCACTTTCTGGTAGAGACCTTAATGGCTCTGGTGCGTGCCTTTACAAAAGAATCTGCAAGCATAGCAAATGAATCAATAGAATTATGTGGTAAATTATGGTACCATATCATAGCACCCTTCGAAAGAGGCTCCCTGAATTTTTTCAGCAAAACGGATTTAATCTCGTCATCTTCCAAGTCATTTCCCTTGATGGCGCACGTATATGAGGTAACGTGTTCATTTGGATCTGTCGTCCCGTTATACTTCGAAATCTCGGGCACACGAAACTTGTTAGGGATTGGCTTCGGAGCCGCACTCAGGGAAAATGGTTTTTCGACAAACTTTTTAGAATCAAGTCCTTTCAATACCGGTGGTGCCCCAGGGATTTGGTCGACCCTGGAGTTATACGTTTCCTTCTTCTTATCGTTTTCCTCGATCTCTTTTTCCCCTGTCTCGATTCGCTTTGTCAGTTCTTCGATCATTTTTATGATAGCAGGATCGATCTCCGATTCTCCTCCATTCGATCTCTTTAGCATCGATTCGGCTCTATGAACAATTTCTTGTGATGGATCAAGCTCGATCTTGCTTGGTGAACGGTTCTGATTTTAGAGTTGTGCTATTGCGGCTTGTTGGGTCTGCAATATTTCAAATATCATTCGAAGGCTAATCCCACTTTCTTCACAGCCATGTGTGTTATGATCGGCTATTCGAGCATCTCCGCGGACGCTATTTTCAGGATCGACGGTCGAATTCCTATTAATGGCAATATGGGAGCTAGCGTTGATTAGGTCCATGGCCGGGATTCCATCGGGGTTGATCGGAGGTACTCCGTTTTCTCGGGGCGTCTATGTTGTCGTTCTCGTCATGAAGACCAAGGTCATTGTCTCTGTGTATGGGTACTACTTGAGAGTTTGACATGTTGATCATGGAATCAAAAACATTTCAAAGAACAAGCATAAAATAATGTGTGTTATGAAAATTGTACCAGGCAATCACTAGTATTCTTAGCCCCACGGTGGGCGCCAAATTGTGTACTCTTGAAATTGAATAACAATTAAACTTATAAGTGGTTTTAAGGATATGTGATTTAACTTGACACAAACTGATAAATATGAGAATTAACGTTAGAGATTAACAATAAAATAAACAAACCAATGTGATGAACAATTGTGGCCCTCGAGCTAAATCACACTCGAACCAACTGCGTGTGCTATATAAAAGTATGAACTGAACACCAGAACTTGCAAGAGAAAAAATGTAATATATTGCTTGATTATGCGGGAGTGTATATTTATAAAATGATTAGGACCCTCTTTATATAATAGAAGAATCTTGTTTATGGTATATGTCACGACCCCAACCGGCCTGGTCGTGATGGAGCCTCTCGTGAAGACAAAGCCAGCCAATACAACACCCATATTAACCCTTAAATCATTAAGAGTTATTTGTAAGACTTTAATAAAACAATATCTCATAACATGAGTCTCAATGAATAGTGCGGAAATAACATACAAGCCCAACATCGGGGTGTCACTAGTCATGAGCATCTACCAAGGTCTGAATACAACAAAACTAGTCAAAAGTGTACTAAATACAATAATGAAAATGAGAGGAAGAAAGCAGTGTTGCGAACGTCATGCAGCCACCTCGCTAAACTCTGATAACTTTGCCTCTGAGCAATCAACACCCGCTACCGGGTTCCGAAATACCTTAATCTGCACACGAGGGGAGTAATGTGAGTACTCCAACCCAGTAAGTAATAAGAGTAAATAAAGACTGAGCAGTAGAAAATAATGAATACACATTTTTACATTAGGCTCAATAAGAACAACAGGTTTTCAAATCATAATACGAGTCAATCGTCTCATTTTAAATTCAGCTTTTTGGTAAAAAAATCATTTAAAATACCTCCCAGCAATTTCAGTGGGGGTTCAATATCATTTGTAATAAAAAGATGAAAACTATAATCGGTCCCTCGGGCAACATCGCAATCATAAACACCTCATAACTTGAAATTTTCAGTGGAAATAATCAATGCCAAATCAGTGATAAAATTCTGAACGTCTCATAAACCCCAGTTTAAATAAAAGTTGTTTTAAAACATTTGTTCAACATTTCGACAGAGGCTCAATATAAAAATGAGTGAAAACAGTCACTAAATCAACATATTCGATAGAAACTCACTTTAAAGAGGAGTGAAATCAATAAGTTCATAAACAGGCCTATCAGGCAAAGCATCACTCATATGCATGTATATATATATATATATATATATCGCCCCTCGGGCTAGCCTCTCTGTCCCTCGTGACTCAACTCCTACCAATCAATACTCGCACTCAGTATTCACGCTCAATAGTTACCATATAATACCCGCTGCAGCGTGCAGCCCGATCCATATATCGCTGCAGCGTGCAGCCTGATCCATATATCGTCGACGGCGCTCACTGGAGGTGTGCAGACTTCGGAGGGGCTCCTACAGCCCAAGCGCTATATTGCTGCGGTGTGCAGCCCGATCCATATATATATATATTTACATATTTGCTGCGGCGTGCAGCCCGATCCAATATCATATATAATATCCTCACTATTGGGTCCTCAACCCCTCTCAGTCATTATAATCACAGCCTCTCGGGCACAATAACATAAGGTAGCGATCTCAGCCCACATATTTCTTTCATTTATGATTATCATTTCATAACCCGGTTCATATCATTTGTAATAAAACAATTAGAAACATGATTGAGGATATGATTTTTAATAAATATGTGAGGAAAACCAGTCAAAAATCCCATAAGGGTTCTACAGGTCGGCACAAGGCCCCAAACATGGCAACTAGCCCAAGACATGATGACAATACATAAGTCTCAGTAAAAAAATGTAGGGAAAATATCAATTGGGATACACCAAGTCACAATCCCCAGTAGCAATGAACCCCAAGCTCATCACGCAGCGTGTGTCTCATCTCAGTATAGCACTACGTTGTGCAAAATTCGGGGTTTCAAACCCTCGGGACAGTATTTACAATTATTACTTACCTCGAACCGGCGAAATCTCTAGCTCGCGATGCTTTTGCCTCTCAAATCTATCCACAATAATTTGATTCAGTCAATACAATTATATGAATTAATTCCATATAAAATTCTACATCTTTCCAACAAAATCCAAAATTACACCCAAAAATCATCAGCGGGGCCTATGCCTCGGAACTCGACAAAAGTTACGAAATATGAACACCCATCCAACCACGAGTCCAACCATACAAATTTCACCAAATTCCGACATCAATTTGACCTCCAAATCCTCCAATCAAAATTTCAAATCCCTAGGCCCAAACATTCGGATTTCACCCCAAAAACAAGTAATCTAGTCAGGATATTCGATGATAATCCCATATTATTGGCTAACAATGACCACAAGTGACTTATCTCTAGTTTTCACATGAATTCTTACTCAACAATCACCCAAAAACGAAATTCAAGACTAGGGTATAGAACCTTACCTCTTTGATGAAGAACTTGAGGGATTTCTTGTTGGATTTCAAGGATTGGACAAGATTTTTGATGAACAAAGCACTTGAGTTTCGTCCTCTCTCTAGAATTTCTCTTCCCTCTCTCTAAAAGTACCAGAATATCCCAAAAAAACAAACCCCAAACGAGTTAAATGAAATGGAGTTCGGGTCTTAAAAACCCATTTTCGTACATCTGCGGCGCGTGGGACGCCGCGGGGCATGGGGCGGCTGTGCAAAATGTGTTTGGAAATGAAATTTCGGATCATTCTGGGATTCCCTACAAGCGCGGCGCGCCGGGCGCCGCATGGGGCGGCGCGGTAGTACAGTTTTCGGCAGCATTTGGTAATTTGGTCATAACTTCTTGTAGGAGTGTTCAAATGACGAACGGTTTGAAGCGTTAGAAACTAGATTCAAAAATCTTTCATTTGATATGTTGTTCATCATATAAATCCTTATATTTATTCAGATATTCTTGTCCAAAGTTTGGTCTTGTGCGTGCTCATTTAAAACTTTCGTCTAAAATGGAAATTTTCAACTTGGCTTGGACTTAGGCCACTCCTTAGACCTCAAATCACTTATAATATGCCTCGTACACTTATTATCATATCCAATTGATATCCATCATATTAATAGTCCTCGTTCGCAGACAAAATAATATAATTAGCGCACGTCAACTTTCTTAATAGCACTTAAGTACTTCAAAAATTTTCCGGGGTGTTACAGTATAATTCTAATTACAGAAGCAAATCTCATGATAGTCTAAATAATCGGTCCTGACTTTATACGTGCCGGGATTTCTGCCACGATCCTTTCCCGATCACAAATATCTCGACTTTCTATTATTCGACTTAGTACACTTCCTTTAATCTTGCTCGATCTCTTTTTTGCTTCGTTCTCGATCACGGCTAGTTTCGATCTTGACCGGGCATTGATCCAAGAGCTTACCAATCTATCTCCGTACCATGGTCCGATATAACCAAGGTCGAGCCTTGATCTACCAAGATTTTGATCAATCATACAAAATTAGGCAAGCTTGATTTCGACCGTATACAGCTATATATTTATTGCCCTCTATTAACATTAGTTTTCCTTAATGTCGATGCAGTGCTTTTTTCCTCAAAACGTTGTTCCATATGTCAAGACTCCACTTTTTAGGATAAATGCAGCTTATGACTCTTGGCAGGTTAAGGATACATATGCCAATTTCTTTCTTTTAAAGAATTTTATTTGGTTTTTTCTTTAATTTCCTTTATTAAATAATTCTTGGGATTATTCAAAATACTAATTCCAGGTTAGGAACATTTTGGTACGCGAATACCTAGATCCTCAACATGTCTTGAACTTTCACAATATAATAGGTCCTAGAGAGATAAGGTGTCATCCAACTAAATACTGTAATCATACTCCCAATCTGTTACTGGATTATTAGAGCTAGTGTAGTCCCCTGAAAATGTCTTTGGTTACTCCAGTTGCTTAGGCTATATAGTCCATCTTGAAGCCTAAGTCAAAGTAATTTCTTCATCTTGCAATATGTAGTTCACTCAAATGTTGCACTTCCTGTGCCTAACAGATAGTTTAATTATTCTTCCAAGATCCATCAAAGTTCATTAACAGCAAAGAATCTGCAGTAAAAAAATCACTAATCAGAATTATGACTTGAGAAGAACCCACAGTACAAAGACTGATTTAGGCAAGCAACAAATATTAAAAAAGGAAACACCGAATGTTGATAGAGGAGTAAAGGGTATCAGGGGAGAAGCAACATATATCTGTTTCAATTACACAGTATGAGGACACTTATATATGTTAATCCTAATCATAATCCTCTCTACTATAAAGGTCAGAGTTCACTTATTACCCAAGTGGACAATTGAAGCCAAAGTCAAAGAGGATAAAGAAACAATCTTGATTGATCCCTTGAATCAACATCCTACCTGAAAATGGAATTGCTTTATTTGTTTGAGAAAGCCTTTTTGTTTCTAGATATCTCAATGAACTTATTACTTGATCATGACACTCTAAATGAAGTTAGCATCCAACATGACTCCGATATCTCAAAGAAGAAAACATCTTCTTGATGAAAAGAAGCAAGTGGCGGGAGATGATTCAACGAATACATGTACTAATCAAAATCAGCTTTTTGATCGTTCAGAAGAAATAGTCACCTGGCTCTACCTTCCGTCATTTGTACTTTTGAATATTAAGAGAGGAAGGAGAAGTAATAAGTTATCACCAATTGACATCTTCTGTACATGATAAATATTTTCCTTGAATAGGTCTTTCTGAATATAATGCATCAATTTAGATCACAAGAAGGTTGGTGGCAATACTTAGGTAATCAGGCATTGATATCTAACACGTCAAATGGATCTTTTTTGTTATCATAATTGTTGTCATTGGCCAGAGCACAGATCTCTTTCCAACTGAAAATAAATTTGTGCTAGCTAACTGAAAACCGCAAGATAGGAATTCAGATTATTTGCTATGAATTCGAGCCTTATATAAAATAAAAATAAAAAGGATGCTATGAATTCAGAGTATTTGGGATCTCACTTACTATTCAGGTTTACGACATGTGATGATGGCAAATTTGATCAGACCCTTCTTGTATCCTTCAATCATCAGTGGCATTGCAAGTGCAGCTTTGATTGTCTTCCATCCTGATGAGGTGATGTAATGAGTCAATACAGAAAAAGGGGTACCAAAATGTTGCAGAAGTACATCTATTTTGGCACAACACAGCTCACCACTGCGTAGGATTGATGTGAAGCCCTTCCATGTCAGTGCAGATTTTATAACTGCTGGCCAAAATGGAGCGACATTCTCAGACCAATCTGCTGCCTTGATATCCTGCCATAGTAGCCACAAGATAATAATGTCTTGAGAATACTTGGACCGGATCATGATATAAACTTATGAAATAGAAAATAAAAAGTATATCAAGAGGATAGCAGCTAGTAGAATTAATTTACCCGAAGAGAGTTAGATTGAAGTAACTTCACATAATCAGCAGTGGAACACCATGCAGGAAGATAGAAGGATTTACATATCTTATTTAACAACTCTTTCTCCTCTGGAAGCAGAGATTCCTCTGAAGGGGAAAGATCCCTGTGGCACCATGTCACAAGTATGATTGTGCCTCCTGGTGCAGCCACTCGAGCTAATTCGCCAACAAACTAACAATGAAGGAAAAGGAGTTTAGAAGAAACTCTATAGCAACAATTAGCCAGTGAAAAGTTCACATGTTCATGTTCAGATATGATGAACCTTTTGTTTGTCCGGCATGTGTTCTCCACTCTCCATGGACCAAACCAAGTCAAATTGCCCATCTGGAAATGGCTGATTCAAGGCGTCTGCAACTTGAAAAGAAGCCTGCTCATTTGCATTTCAGTTAGTAAAAAGAGAGTGCAAATATCAATACATTTTGAGGTGTAGGATTGGGCACAGGAGGAAGGTACATTTGACATCAAAATGATATTGAGGGGATACCGATTTACTTTCCTCTTTATTAGCTTCCTTTAGGAATCAGTCCAGTTATATGAAGGTATAAGGATTCTGAATAACTAATGCAAAGTTAAGTGTATAACAGCTAATTGAAGAAATGATCATACAGCCTAAATATGTTAGTATAATAATTCACTAAACATAAACAAGCACAAGTTTTGCACAATGTAAGTAACTTTAAGAAGTCGGTCATTAAACAATATAAACTATCCTCAGCTCTATGACTCAGTCAAATAGCATTTCTTTTTAACTTGTTCATGAAAAGTTGAAGTGATTTAAACTTCTTATAAGAAAGTAAGAAAGCTCCTCATACGTAGTGTTTTAAAGCAAAATCTAGCTCAAAAGGCAGATACCTTATCGCCTAATCCTTGAGCAGCAGCAAGAGCTTGAGCCCTCTCGGCTTGTACAGGACTCAACGTGATGCCTTGAGCTGTAGCGCCATATTTCTTTGCAAGGTACCTAGAACTGCCTCCTATCCCACATCCAACATCAACTATGGACCTTGGTTTCTTTGCCGGATCATCTGAAAATTCATGTTAGGAAATTAAGGTATACAAGAAGAAAAGTGGGATCTATTTCCAGAATTCATAACTACAAAAAAGGAAGCTTAATATTATAGTCTCATCACTCATGTAGATACCTCAGGATTCTGGAGTAGGAAATAAGAGGAGAGCAGATTGCAGGGAGACATCACTTATTAAATGATGTCCTACCATGCAGCAACAACAACAACAACAACTACTATACCTCAATCTTAAATAAGTTGGGTCGGCTATGTAAATCTTCACTAACCATGTCCCCCATATAAATTTATCTTGCTTCCGACATTTTACAGAATAAAAATAAAATAATATTTACTAGAAGTTCTCTATATTTCCTACAACCATAAGAATCTCTACTAGGGCTTAAGGACTCCTAAAAAGTATAGGATCTAAAGTACACGTAGATTAACATGAATAAGATAAATTCCAAACAAATCAGTATTGCCTATATAAATCAAGTATTTCTGTATACCCTTTCTCTAAATCTGCATTGATTGCAAGAGATTGTAGGTATATCGAGACAACTTCCTTTCATATGATTAAAAATGATCACATTCTCCGGAAGGTTCAATATATGGGATAAAAAAAATACAATAAGCACTCTCCATTTCCTCATCGTACAATAACAAAATTGGATCCAGCTGACATAAGAATGAGCTATTAAACAAACCCTTGTATACAGGTCATACAGCGTGACGACTCGGCCAGTCGTCTCATGAGTTACCGTTCCGTTTCCCCCATTTCTGCTTCTTTATGCTTCGTTATCTGTGTTTTGTGGTATCAGGTTGGTCGGATCGAGTCCGGAATGAGTTTGGTGAAGTATGAGACACTTAGTCTCTTTTAAGAAGGTTTAAGTTGGAAAAGTCAACCGGATGTTGACTATTGTGTTAGAGGACTCGGATGCGAGTTCCGATGGTTCGGTTAGCTTCGGGAGGTGATTTATGACTTAGGAGTGTGATCGAAATGGGTTTTGGAGGTCCGGGGTAGAATTAGGCTTGAATTGGCGAAATTGATATTTTGGCGATTTCCGGTTGATAGGCGAGATTTTGATATAAGGGTCAGAATGGAATTCCGAGAGTTGCAGTAGCTTCGTTGTGTCATTTGGGATGTGTGTGCAAAATTTCAGGTCATTCGGACGTGGTTTGGTTGGGTTTTTGATCAAAAGCGTATTTCGGAAGATTTTTAGAAACTTAGGCTTGAATTCGATGTGTTTTGAGTGATTTGATGTTGTTTGAGGTGTTTTGATGACTGGAGCAATTTTGAATAAGGCTTTAGGATGTGTTGGTGCCTTATGTTGAGGTCCCGGGGGCCTCGGGTGAGTTTCGGATGGTCATTCGGGTCATTTTTGGAGTTGGGTAGTTGCAGAAAAATCTGATCAGGTGTTGCAGAGATTATCTCTTCGCGTTCGTGTGAGGAGCCTCGCGTTCGCGAAGAAGGAAGTGAGGAAGGTCAGGATTTAGCCTTCGCGATCGCGAGATGAGCTGGGGTTCAATGCATCGCGTTCGCGAGTGGGTGTACGCGATCGCGAAGAAGGATTTGAGTCAGATAGGTCCAAGGTCTTTTGTTTATCGCGTTCGCATAAGGGGTGTCGCGTTCGCGAAGGTGTAGGAGGAGAAAGCATCGCGTTCGCGACTGGTGTATCGCTTCACGTAGAGGAAAGTCTGGTCAATGCAAATTTGTGCATCGCAATCGCGAGGTGTTGACCGCGATCGCGAAGAAGGGGGAGACAGACCTGGGCAGAATGTTTTAAGTCATTTCATCCGCGATTTTGGGACACATTTCCTCCATAGTTGAGCATTTTGAGAGCTTTTTGAAGGAGATTAAAGAGGGATTCAAGGGGAAACGTTTGGAGGTAAGAATTTCGGACCTAAAACTCGATTCTATTGTGAAATCTACCTAGAAAAGCATGGAACTTAAGCTAAAAATGGAAGAACTAGGGCTTGGGATTTTGGACTTTTGAATTAGGATTTGAAGGACCATTTGAGATCGGATTTGAGAACTTTTGATATGTATGAACTCGTGAGGTGATATGGAATTTAATGATGTAAAAATTTCTGAGTTTCGAGAAGTGGACCCGAGGCTCGGGTTTTGCTAATTTCAGAATTTTTCGTAATTTTCGATTGTTTTCGCTTGGGCTTTGTTCCCTTAGCATATTGTGACGCATTCGTTCTGATTTTG